GTGTGTGTAAACTCCTAGAAAATAATGTGTTCGAATTTTAAAGAATTCTCTGTGCTTCTCGTCCGGTGTGCGACCCCCTTTAAAGTGCTGTTTTCTTTGAAGCCGAAGAACTCCCATACCAGAGTGGCTGCGCGGGCGCGCGCTGCGTCTTCTTCTCATTTGAAAGATTTCAGCGGGTGCAATACTGCCACCTCAACTGGCGCTGGAGTATACGTGTCATGTTATCATAAAAGTCCTATTCATTTTAAACATCGTGGTTATCGCCAATACCGGTATATTGCCACACTCTAAATTAACACGATGTCGATATTTCAAGCTTTGAATATGACGATTAGCCTATCGTCAATACCGGTATATTGTGACACCCCTAGCTCCAGCATATCAACAATGACCGCGCCGGTCCGCGCCGCGCAGACTATGATTGACAGCTCCCTCATGAGCGAGGGCGGGTCTGTGTTGAAACGCTCCTGTCAATCAACAATCGTGGGAGGGGCGTGCGAGCTTGTGACGTCACAGGCTCGAACGGCTCGATTTGAGGCAGGGGAAAATATATAAGTAAATTAAAACAAAACCACTGGATGGATTTTTATCATTATATGATGGTTGTGTACAGACACTGCCAACACACATTTCACTACAATCAACTTGTAAAAGTGCATGTACCATTATATGACCCCTTTAATATAGCTCCGATTGCATTTGGCTGAAAGAAGAAAGTCATATACACCTAGGATGGCTTGAGGGTAAGTAAATTATATTTACATTTTTGAGTGAACTAACTCAAACATATCCTCGAGAGGGGAGGTGTACTTACCTTGTAGTGGCACATACTTGCCTGCCTTTTAGCGTATCAGTTAGCACCATTAGTTAAATGTTACATCATCTAATTAATATTCATTAACCAAGCTAGTTCCTTTACCCGCCAAACTTCTAAAACTATTCCAAATATTTACAGACTTCCACTAAAACAGCAGGGGAATGGTGGGAGTCGGCCAAGTAGAGGAATATCAGGCACTGTCTCTTTCACCCTCACACACTACAGCATGCCTCTATGTCAATGCATAGTTCAGATGCAGTGTGTTTTATGTGAGTGTAGTGGTGTGTAGCACCGGTCCCTCAGGCTAATGACCTCCAGCTGTCGGAACAGTGATGGCTCGCGGCTTTTCTGAGGGACACAGCGGTCGGCAGCACATTCCATATGTTCCTCCGTCGTTTCCCCGTCCTTCTTTTCTCCCACTCTTTTCTCCTCCTCCGGCTCCTCCCGAGAACAGCTGGGGCCGACCTGGGTGTGCGCTGTACTTCCATGTCTCAGTGCCTTGCCTCAGGACCCATCATTTGTTTATGTTATTGCTGTCATTTCACAAGACGCTCATTTATAACCCTGTGACAAATCGAAGTAGGAAATGAATTACTCCTCAGTTTCCAAATAAACAAAGCGATACTTACAGATGCATCACTCATTGGTGTGATGGTCAGTGTCTCCCGTTGGAATGTTGTGAATTTAAAGTAATAATTCAGCCAAAAAGGAAAAACATGTCAACATTCAGTTCAGTGCTATTTTAGCAGAATTTATATACTATTTTTTTTTGTTAATATTTTGAATTAGATTTGAATTATGGTTTTTGTAATTTTGTTGTATTTTTTTATATGTACAGTTGTGGTCCGAATTAATGGCACCCCTGGTAAATATGGTCAAAAATGGCTGTAAAAAATAATTCTGCATTGTTTATCCTTTTAATCTTTCATTAAAAAAATTTGCAAAAATCTAATCAAATCCCCCTCCCCGCACACACTTTCATTTCTTTTACTTCAATGAAAGGTTAGATTTTTGCTCATTTTTTGAATGAAAGATCAAAATGATAAACAATGCAGATTTATTTTTTTACAGCCATTTTTGATCATATTTACCAGGGGTGCCCTTAATTCTGACCACAACTATATTTTTTATTAAGTTAGTACTTCAAAATAAGAAATGTTGCCTTGACAACTACCTGCAATAAAATATGTTTTTTAAAATATATATTTTATCTTATTTCAACAATGTTCATTTTATTCCAAGTAATTATTTTTTGAATGGTTTTAGTTTTAGTTAATGATAACAACCCTGGTTCAGTCATCCTCATGTTGTCTTAGGCCCCTAAGTCTTAGGCCAAATGTTGAATCTGCTTTTTTTCCATACAAGGAAAATAGTGCTAGGCATTACATGTGCAGTGCTTTTTGGATTTTGGCGGTATAAATCATCCATTTTCCTTGTATGGAAAAAGCAGTTGTATAGACTTCTTTTCTGGCACTTTTTATCCCACTTTACTGTACTTTTCTGTAAAAAAAGAAAAAAAAAAAGAAGAAAAGGATCAGCTCAAAATTCAACCGAACATTTTATAATATATTCAAGGAAGTGTGACATTAGGAAACCAGTTACAATTTGAAAGTTAAAATTTTTAGAAATTGGAAATCAAGTTCTCAGAACTTCTCACACTCTTTTCTTCTCCTGCGGGAGTTTGAACCACATGATAACAACATTTTCAAAAACTGGTTGAACGGTTCCTTTTAATATTGCAAAGCTCACAGAACAAAAGTGTAAAAATAAAATCTGCTACAATAAAAACAAAAGTATGATATGAGTGAGTTTTACAGCTCAGCAGAATGGGGCATTATGCAGGAAGGGCCAGTGTTTGTGTGTGTGTGTGTGTGTGTGTGTGTGTGTGTGTGTGTGTGTGTGTGTGTGTGTGTGTGTGTGTGTGTGTGTGTGTGTGTGTGTGTGTGTGTGTGTGTGTGTGTGTGTGTGTGTGTGTGTGTGTGTGTGTGTGTGTGTGTGTGTGTGTGTGTGTGTGTGTGTGTGTGTGTGTGTGTGTGTGTGTGTGTGTGTGTGTGTGTGTGTGTGTGTGTGTGTGTGTGTGTGTAACCTCACACTCCATCAACAGAGACCATGAGTTTGCAGCCCCTTGCTGTGGTTTGTCTCATTATACTAAATATTACATGTATATACATTGCACTCGTTAAATCATTGTCCTAAGCCTCGTTTTCTCATGGCCCAGGTTTTCATAAGTTTTGACACAGCACTGGCCCCCGACAATGTCATCAGAGGCATAAAACTGATCAAGTGCAGATTGCTTAAGAAACAAACTTGACCTAGGTTACTGTCCAATGTTCCTGTGCTGCACACAATACCAAAGTAATGCATATCACACGCCAGTTTCAAACATTTTCCATTCCACAAATGTAGTTTCTATTATTTACAGGCACAGGGCTGTCCTTAGTTGGAGGTGCAACTGGTGCGACCTCACTGGGCCCCGCGCTTTAGGGCGAACGGACCGAGGGCAGACATTTATTTAATTTTTGATTAAATAGCTCACCAAGGCTGGTGAACAGAAGAGACTTATTTCAAAAACATAAACAAATTGTACCAACCCCAAACTTTTGAATGGTAGTGCAATGATCATGAAAGGTTTGACTGATCATGTTGATGTTGGTAATGAGCTGTTACAGTATAATGTTGGTTGTCTGGTTTCCTTAAATGAGTCTGTTTAGTCCATAGGCAAACGTGGGAAAACACTCTGACCCTTCGTCCTCTCAGAATCCTGCCTTATTAGGAGTTCCAGCACACCCTTACAAGGAAAGGGAAGTCAGAAAAGCAGAAGAGAAAGGAGCAAAAAAAATATATATATATATATATATATATATCTGTGATGAACACGCCCTGTCATGAACATCATCTTTCCATGAACTGCAGTTGGAAGCCGATCTGAAACTACGATCTGTTGGGAAGTCGTCTGACACATTAAGAAGAACAATAGATGCAGATGAAAATCTCAAACTGGTTCATCTCACATGCACTGCATTAGAAAAGTTATTCATGTTTAGTACAAGTCAAAAGTTTAAACATCTACTCATTCTTTATCGTTTCAGTTTTCCACATTTTAGATTAATAAAAAGATTACATTTTATTCTAAGGTGACGTAGTTACAGTGGACTTACTCATAATAGTACTGAGTAATATTAATTAACTGCATGTAGCCTACTTACTAGAGTTACAGTTAGGGTTAAGGGTTTGGTTTATGGTTAGTTACTTGTAATTATGCATAATTTACTGTTATTATATAGTAAGTACATGTAGTAGCATGTAATTACGTCACCTTAAAATAAAGTGTTACCGTATAAAATATTGCCAAATAACACAAAGAAGAGTAATGGGAACCAATGACCAATAAATGTCTTATTTGAGCTTTAACTTTGACTATAGATTCCAGTCCTACTTGTTTTGTTCCTATATGAATCATGTTTTGAACAAATCAGTCAACTTAATGACTCAGTGACTCGTTCATGTACAATCCCTTTTTGTTATTGAATGAATCATTTTTTTCCCAACTAATCAGTTAACAGAATCATTAACTAAATATATGATTTCACAATGTTTTCAGAACACACAAATGCGTGTTTTTTGTGTGTTTTTCTCACTGATTATATGTGTGTGTTCACAAATGCACAAATGATTTATTTATGTTTACACTGCTCATAATGGAGACTTGAATCAGGGTTATTATTGTTAACTAAAACTAAAACCATTAAAAAAAAATCATTATTTGCAATGAAATAAAATAAAATATAAAAAAAACCTTAAACTTATTTTATTTAAGCCAGTTGTCAAGGCAAGATTTCTAATTTTTGTTTAAGTTGAAGTACTAAAATAACTACATCTAAAATAAAAATGAATAAAAACCATACAGACATAAAAAAACTAATAAAAATGGCAAAAACAGACTAACTAAAAATGTAACTTAAATTAAATTGAAAACATAATATAAAAATGAAAAATTATTAAATCTGATTTCAATAAAATATGGACATTAATAAACCATTAAAAAAAAAAAATACAAATAATTAATTAAACTAATTAAATGTAATATTAATAAAATATTAATATTAATAAATAATACATAAATAATAATGAAAACTATAATAGTACATCAGTGATTCTAAAAAAACACTGACTTGAATATGCGTATTCCATTGTGTTGAAACAATCACTGATGTGTGTGTGTTCACGCTCGGCTGATGTGTGAGTGTATTGTGCAGCAGAAGAGGATATGGTGGTGGCACTGTATTCAGCATGGCTGCAGCTGGTTGAGATAGGTTCAGGAGACAGTGGCTCTTCAGCACAAAGCTCATGAAGTCAGCAGCCCTGCTCCCACCTGGCAGCCCCCGCTGGAACCGCTCTGCCTGGGAGAGACCAACACGTCACATCAGCTTTAATGCTCTACTTCCCTCCTCCAGATCCTCCAGCATCAGCGAGCTAACAGCTGCACCGCGTCCTCTGTGAGTGCACACAAATGCACATGCACACATAAACACATGTGCATGTACACATGCTCACACGCACCTCCCATAAGCATACTGTTTGCCTCAACACTCAAGGCTAGAAGACGCCGTTATGTACACTGCTAAACACCCAAACACCCAATTAGGCTCAGACTTTCACATGCATGCAACTTTTGACTTGCCAGTAAATAGGATGCATAATGGATGTATTATAGTGCTTTATAATCCACATTATAATTAGTTGCATTACTTCAACCATATGTTATGATACATTCCGCCTATCCATAGTTAAACACGATGAAACACATGATACCATTCCATATGTGATATCAAAATGATTAGTTTTTTTTCTCGCGAGAAATTACATCAACAGTGGAAAACGTTGGTTAGAAACATACATTTACACAGAAACTGACCACCAACCGCATCTTTCAGACGCCATCTTTAATTTTACTGATAGCTTAACTGTCATGGAATGGAATGCGCATTGTGGAATACAGCGAATGATACATCTATGCTACCTTCATAAACCGATCAGAAGAAGGTATATCAGGAGATAGGAAGATAAGCTAACATTGGATTTGGACGTGCCTTTATGCCTTCCCACCTTGCAACGCATCCTCCGAAGGCAGCATATTTAAGATTTCGGATGCAGCCATACGTTCTTTTGGACATACTTTTTTTAACAGTGCAAATGTAGTACCTACTCAGACAGTACACGATTTCGGACGCACTAGTGTTTGAACAAATCGGATGTATGAATGGTCTAAACACTTGTTTGGTCTTAACACTTGTGGTCTAAACGATTTTTAACATGTGTGAAAATTCACTGAAAATCCCTACCACTAACAACATAGAGAGACAGACAGACTGACTGACTGTACTATCTAACTGCTGTATTTTAAAATATATACCACAATTCGGTTCACAAAAGAAAGCGATACACAAATTAAAACAAAATGCAATACATATATGACCATTATTTATTAAACAATTCCATGCGTTACAGTGCATATTGTAAACTAATTTCTTTGCATCATATGTGTTACTATATTGTATTCTAGCATGGCTGAAACACTGTATTGACCAATCAGCATTCATTTTATAAAATGTACTATGTTGTATGCTATGCTATGAATAGGTCGATTTTTAAATAGAATATATTTACAATACCTTTATTATGAATTATCTATAAAGGATTCAAGTTAAGTTAATACATACATTTTAATTGACATACATTTCAACAGAATCAATAGCATGAGGCACATGGGCTGTCATTAAAGGGGCTATATGTGTTTTTCTGAAATTTAAACTCGCGACTGACACCTGTGGCCAAAAAACAGAACTGCTCTTCCTTTCTGCTCGCTCTCGCAGTTGTGAACTGAAAACAACACAGTGCTATTTCAATGAACAGTGTTACCTTTTCAGAAGAAAAAAAGCCATTTCTGGGTCACTTCGTATTCCCAACACAGATCTGAGCTCCCTCCAAGGCTCAAATGCGAAGCCGATGTTCACTCTAGTCCTTGCTCGGCGCCGGTCGCTCTCAATCTTCGATCTTTTTCGGCCACTTGTCAGGGATTTAACTTTTTTAGTCTTCTGTGGAGTTACTGTTGGTGTCCGAGTTGTCCTGGGTCTCTTCTGTGTATTCGCAAAATCCATTGCACTGCTTGCGAGTGTAGGCTATTGCTGACTAGCGGTGGTGGCAGAGTGATCTAAAACGTTTAACATGAACGCGCTTGACGTCACATCCGCAGACAGCGCGGGAAAAATCCGACCCGACAGAAAATAGGAAAAATAGGCTTATAGGTGCACCCACTGTGAGCGGACAAGGTGTCAGTATGCTCAACAGGAGATGTTTGAGTCATAAATGGTAAAATAAAAAGGCTATTGTTACGTTTATTTTGGGGAAAAAGTTGCATACAGCCCCTTTAAATGCTTTAAATACAGATGTGTGTCAGCATCAATAAGCAAAGCTCTATTTAAAGGGGTCATGAACTGGCTTTTAAAATTGTTTTATATTGTTGTCTGAGGTCAACTTATGACGTTCGCTTGGTTTTTACATTCAAAAACATCAAAATGAATAAGTAATAGGCTATTTTCTACCCTAGTTTTGAGCCTAGCTGAAAAAAAGCTCGGTTTTTATGGGCGTCTCGCATTGAAGACTTGGAAGTAAACGCCCACTGCTGTGAGTGGATAACAGTTTTGCATATTATAATGAGTTTCGTCTAATGCGCGAATCGGTGGGCGGGGCTAAACCGGCCGTGTTGAAGTAGGCGTTGATCTTCTTCTGCGGGGGTGGTGTTTGATCCTCTTTGTCGTCATAGTTCCCCACTTTGAAAAACGAGTCGTTTGCTGAGCCTGGTGTCAATAAAAGCTTTTATTGGACTAACAAGGACGTTTTCAGTTCTGAAACTTACAGGATATTCTTATAATTTGATGACCTCTTAGATGTCAAAAGCTCAAGGAAAATTTGATTTCTCAGTTCATCACCCCTTTAAAGAGCCTTTAAACTGTCAATCACTGATATAGAGAAACAGATAATTTACTGTACAGTCTGAACTCTGAGCCAGTCTGATCTGAATGTAGTCAAACAAAATTAGACTGTCACATAATGCAGAATCACAATCCAGATGTAATTCTAGTCTAAACGCAACATCATTTAAATTTCATCAATAGGGAAGCTGAGATTATTTAGGGTAAATAAGACAACATTGTGAATGAGTTTTTAATAACTGGTGGGAAAATATACTGCAGCATGAAATAAAAAGCATGGGAACCGTCTCAAACCGGAAGAGAGAATTTGGAATACAATTAAAGCTTCCATTTATATCACGAATATCTATGATGTATGATGTAGGCTTGCTTCTAAAGTCTTTTGTATAGCAGTGAGATTGTTTGCAAAGATGCCAAATATAAAAGGCTTATAATCATGTTTGTGAGCTGGCAGACGCCCTAGCCAAGCTCTGCCCAGCACTCATGGGCATGTCCTGCTTCTTCCTGTGATATATCATTTCACTAAAGCGTGGTGGAGAGGAAGGAGTGTTAAATGAGCTATATGTCCACTTATGTTCTCTTCCAAACCCTCTCTCTCTTCCTTCAGTGCCAGCAGAGTTGATTATAAATGATGCGTGTTGTCTATAGCCCTGTGACCCATACTGTCTTACTCACTTTAGCAATGTACACACTACAATAACAAGCTGACAAAGGATGTCTATAATACCTGCAGAAAGCTGTTAGATTTTCCATTCACCTCAATGGTGTAGAAGTACTTGAGCATCATGTTCTTGAGATAATCTCTTGGAGTTTCCATGAATTTGTTGTTGTTATATTTATTTTCAACGCATTCTCACCCCAAGGCGTCACTAAAATGACAATTTTGACCATGCTTCAATATTCGACGCTTTAGGCACCCTTTAGCGTCAGTTACATGACGCGATCCTAGGGCGTCATCTTACTGACGCTTTACCTAAGCGTCAGTTAGATGACGCGGGTAGGTTTAGGTCTGGGGTAGGGTTAGAATTAGATAGCGTCATCTAACTGACGTTAAAGGTAAAGCGTCAGCAAGATGACGCCCTAGGATCGCGTCATGTAACTGACGCTAAAGGGTGCCTAAAGCGTCGAATATTGAAGCATGGTCAAAATGATTCCCAAGGCGTCAGTTTCATGACGCCTAGTTATTTTGGGTAACACTTTATTTAGTTTCATATTAAGAAAACTAATTGCCAACTATCCGCATTTAAAGACTTACTTCACTGTACTACACTGTAACATAAGATCTCTGCCATTATGTGAGTAAGACATCACTGCTATGATAAACTCCATAGAACTAGAAATCATCCCTCTTTTTTTCCACGAGGGCCAGGCTGTGACACTAAAGGGCAACACTAATGGGATCATGTGCCAATTTTTACTCCCACTAGTTCACGCTTCCATGTCTGTCTGCATTCTTTAACACATTAATAAAGCCACAGTATTAAGTGTATGTCAGTGAATATGTAATTTACAATGTAATTAGCCAACTTGATTCTCAGAATAATATGTAAATGAAGTGCTTGACTGAAAATTGGCAGAAAAATCAGCTAGTAGAAGTCCAATCCATTCCTATCGATACAGACTCATCTAAAGGACAATAGTGTGTCTCATTAGGAGAGTAATTGTAGTTCTTGCATATACTCAGACAGAACTCTTTAAAGCACATGCACATGCTAACATGCTTTCAGCTGTAACATAACATGTTTGAAATGGGTTTTGTCTAATATGGTCACAAGTTTGAGTCACTGATGATGTGAGAAAATGTATCAAGGCAGCAAGAGGGTAAATATACCAGCTATAATGTGAAAAAAGAGGAAACAAAACTTTAATGATGTCAGGAATAATCTCTCCCAGTGACTCAAGATCTCTTTTCTTTTCTCTGAGGAAGTTCGAGTTTAAGCACATTCTGTTGTAACAGGCTTTTTGTTTTTGAGTGGCCTCTGCAAGTATATGTAAGCATGCATTCCATCTATATGATATTTAGTGTTATTTATTTCTTCTAAAACAGTATGAATCCAAATCAGAATCCAAATCTAAAGTGAAATGAACTGAATTTAGATTTAGATTTGGAATTGAATTTGGATACAAATAAAGATTTAGGCTAAAATTCAGATTTCATTTTAGATTTGAATTCTGATTTTTATAGGTTCAGATTCAAATTTGGAATCTGATTCTAGAAGCTTATTGGCGCTGTGACAGGCCAAAGTTATGATTGGCTGTTCATGTTGCAAAGCATTATGGGTATATCTGCTGTTCTGTTCTCACCCTAAAGCAGAAATGTAGTCACTTAGGGTTTTTGAGAGACATATGTAAATCCTAAACTTGCCAAGTGAATTTGGTCAGAGTAAAAGTGGTTTAATTCGGAATTGATTTGATTTGTTTCCCAGAAATATTGAAATGCATACAGTTGTCCCAAAAAGTATATGATTTTGTGAACCGCACTTAAAATTGTATTCCATTGGGGCAAGAAATATCCGACCAAGAAAGTAAATAAATAAATAAATTAGTAAAGGACACTTTTCAAGCAAGACTTTTTCAAGTCTATTAGGTTTAAAATTATTAAACAATATATATGGATAAATGGACACTTTCCTAAAATGTTAGTGGAAGATGTTATCTCTTATTAATAGTTAATGTGGTTCCTCTGCTACTAGGACACCTGATTTAAATCCACTAAAAATCACCAAAACATCAGCTGATTGTCATTGCAAAAAAAAAAAAAAAAGGTCTAGCATTGTTTGCTTAGTTGATGATGCTTAGTTTGACATTTGAATAACATATTGAAGAAAATTCAAGCATTTTAAATGTCAAACATTTAAGCTTTTAATACTTGTTGGGGCCTCTGCACACACACACACACACATACACAATTAAGGTATCTGTCTCTCTTGTTCTCTCTCTCCAGGGGTTGCAGCAGCCCCTCCTTGTTTCTTCGGTCCTGACTCCGTCTCTTTGCCTGTGGCTGGAACAGCTGTTGCAGGGGCTGAGGATTCTGGGTACACAACACTGGGGCACCGCTGCCAGTCATGCTCATCCTCAGCACAGCTGCCACTCTCCATGCAGAGAAGAGATCAACTCCAGCAAAACTTCATCGCAGGGCTTCTTCTCATAAGTTGCTTTGGTAATAAAGAGCCACACACATGAATGTGTGCAAAATGCGATTTTCATTCCTCTGGGTGGATTTGATACATTGCACAATGAAAATCAGTCAGCGCTCTTCCCTCATTGAAAGAAGGCTAGGCAGTTTCCAAAATTCATCCCATGGGACACAGTCAGTCATCTCTTTGATTACTTTACAAGGATCATTTCTCTAGCTGTTGCCAGGCCCACACGAAATCTGTAACTTTTTTTTTCTTTTCCCTTTTTAGCAATTTTAAAATCCATTCTGCAAAATCTGATTTTCTCCTAAAATCCACCTGGACCTATAAGAACGCTGTTGGCTATTGAATGCTTTTGGAAATAAATTCTTAAAGCTGGAATAAACAACAAAACTTTTGTCAAGATTTGCAGCCACTCCAGTTGAAAGTCAGAACCGGTCTGCAAATTTATTTAATTTAAGTTTACAACGGGCTCAGATTTTCGTTAGTTTCTCACTATGATTCCAATTAGCTAGAGAATTACTATGAAGCCTAAAGCCAAGGGACATGGTGATGAAAAAAAATATGAGATGGGAAGAAAAAACATATTTCAATTGTTTTTGCATTCTAAATTCACCCAAGTAACTTTGTGTTCGTTCGACAAAAGTATTGCGTTCCCCTGAGAGACTTTGCGTATACTCGCAAAACCCAAAGTTCCCCCGAGAAACTCATTCCCATCCGGGTCACGGCACCAATGTAACTCCTCCAGTTCTACCCTCCCCGTTCTGAGCAGGGTTTGAACTGAGGGTTTGAAACCTTTTGAGACCAGGGTAGTGAGGTTTATACGCACAGCTCTTACTAGCTGGCCTCCATTACAAACGCAAAACATTTGCAGGAGTACACTAAAGCACTGACACATCATTTTTCCTCCCATCTCATATTTTTCCCACCACCATATCCCTTTAGGGGCTCTGTAAATATCAAACATGTTTGATATTTTGAACTGTTTTTTTTTTTTATGTATAGCAATGAGGCGCATGTTTCTACATCGCTTTGTTTGGATTGACTTGAAAGTCTGGTAGTTTGTGATCCTCAGACCTTTAGTGCATGATAGTTTTTCTCTGAAACCATTTACAAAGCCATTAAGTGTATGAAGCCTATAGTGTTTTAAAATCTATTCAGGTTTTTAAAAAGTAGTGTAGTCAATTCCAGCTTTAAGGCTAGCAACAGCCTGGATAATATAATATCCAAAGAAAGTTTAATTTGAAATGATTTATGATTTACAATCTCAGGGAGTGATTTATTGTAAGATGTTGTGCTCAAGGCCACAGACATTTCAACTCTACAGCTGCTGGTTCCCTGACACAACCTTGAGATAAAGTCTCCAGTTTGTTTACTAGCAACCTTGAACTTTAGCTACGAGACCACCCTAAACTGCTTGCGTAAATGCAATTTCCTTTACATTACCTGTCATTTACTAACCCTAGTGTTGTTCCAAACCCTAGTGTTGTATCTATATCTCTCTCTCTCTCTCTATATATATATATATACACACACAGTATATACATATATAAATATTTTATTTTGCTGTGGAACTTGATTAGAACATTTTAATGGTCTAATAATCCAGTGGCCTCAGCAAACTTCCAAGGGGACTACAGAATGACTTATTTAAATTAATATATAATTATTAATATAATTTAGTATTGTTCAAATATTACATATTAAAAGAATATAAAACAATCTTGGTTAATTAATATTAATTTTAAAAGCTAGTGCTTTAAGTGGAAGGCTTTCCAATACGCTTTGGCCATTATAATCTAGTGCAATTCCCTTCAGTACATTCGGTCCATACCGTTGTTGTGTCCGTTCCGTACAACAGGAAGTCGGTCACCTCCCTCACTTCCTACACTCCATTTGCTCTCACTGCTGTAGGAAACGACTGCTTCATTTAAACAAAGCAAGACCTCGTACGCCGAAGACAAACACGTCCTCCCTGTCTGCTGCAGGATCATTGTTCCTCACTGCACAACCTTGAGACAAAAGACTTCCTCTGCTCGCAGCCGAGTCTAGAGTTAGCCATGCAGTGACTGGAATTCTCATAGATCCCATTATTAGACACCTGAATGTACACAGAATTCCCATGGTGCACAGAGAACACCTCCTCCTCTGAAGCACAGCAGTTTGGCCCACATCTGTCAAGCAGCAGTGTGATAGACAGAAACCGAATATCAAATATTTCCAACATATGGCCATGAATTTTAGAAATGGGACTTAGGCTCTTAAATGCTTCAGTGAAGATCTTTGGGAACAGGGTGAAACAAACATTTGTCAAATCTCTGGTCTTCCCTATAACAGCATGACATCAGAGTATGAGTCACAATTTATGCATTAAAGAATGTAAGGATTCTGCTTCTGATTCCTCTTAACAATTCTTTAATTGTTTTATTACTGATTTTTTTTAGTACTTTTAACGAATAAATATTTGAGTAAAAAAATCAGTTTCAGAATAATGAGAATTACAGCAATAAATAAATTTAAGCAAAAGGTGTGTTTACATAGCCTGGATGCCAGCCGAACTTAGCCCCGCCCACAACATTTGAGGATGGGAAGTTCGGTCTGGACTTGATCCGTTCAGAAGCAAGTATGCCCGAACCAAAGCTGTTCGGACCAATCAAATTGTCTGGGCGGGCTTTATACGATGATGGACAGCTGATCAACAGTAACGTAATCATCCACGTCACCAAAGAGCGCTTGGGTTGAATTCGTTTACAACAAAGTATGGCTGCCGCTGGAGAATTTAGATGTGTAGATTCAGCCATCGCGTCTGTAGAAGATATCGACAGCGCATTCATTTTAAAAGAGGAACAGAGAACCGCAATCAAGGCATTTGTCGATCGGAAAGATGTTTTTGCCGTCCTTCGTACGGGATTCGGTCTATTCAATTGAGTGCAGAGGCATTTTTTTTTCCTGGTTCGGTTGAAACACGCCCCATAATCACAGCCCAATGGAGCAGTATCAGACTCACATTCTGACTGAGTATGACGACGTCATGCTAGTGTTTACATGTTGTACATGACTTTTTAATGACCTTTCATAGACATGCAGCCCAATAATTGGTAACCTTATAGCGCTGATGGTTACCCAGCATGCTTTGCGTCTAACTGAATTCTGAACAGGTTTGGGTCCAATTACTTGCAGAGACTGTGGAGTTTTGTGAATTGTGTTTATAATTGTGTTCAGAATTGTATGTAATATTGCCTGTTTTATGTCTAGTTCCAGAAGTGCAGTGCTGGCTTGTCCAACATTATTAGTAGTGTTTGTTTCAAATGTAGGCTATAATATTGATTATTGTGTGTTGTTTAATGACAAATATAGAATATAGATAAATGTGTTGCTGTAGTATTCGGATCATTCTACTGATTTGGACCTTTTTAAATCTCGTTCGGCAAAATGAGTGAATCTTTACCTTCACTCCTTCACTTGAGCAGAAATAAATTAAAGGTTACATTTTCAATAGCCAAAATTCATTCTATTGTCATGTGACAGCCGTTTAGGCTTTGAGTACAGGAAACCGAAATGATTAGTTCACGTGACAAATGAACGAAAAAGCCTCGGACTGGATCGAGGAGAGACTATGACAACACTATGCTGTATGTTTTTGATTCTCTTCCTGCAGTTACGTAAGCACACGCGAGAACGGTTTTGGTATTTAAAAATATCCTTCTCATTTCCCAACCTGTATTGACTGTTCAGTGATTGTGTCCAATGACTGTGTAGTAGAGCAGCATGTGTAAAAGCCCTAGAGACCAGGGACGTATGTCAGGAAGAGGCCCCTGGGAGAGAGCAAAGTTTGAAGTGAAAAGGAAACAGTCTCACCAGCACAGGAACTCATAGCATACAGAATAGTGCTGTATGTGGGATTTAGAGAGCTTACACTGATATTTTTACTACATTCATTTGACCTTGAAACAACTTCTTCGTTTGATTGGCATAAAATACAAGGGAGTGAAAATCCAGACCTTAACAAAGGAATAGTTCATCCAAAAAGTGATTTGTTTAAACGTGTTGGTAAAATTATTTATTGAGTGATTGATTGGTTGGGAAAGTCTGTACTGTAGTATACCATTCAAAATATCACTACAGCTATGGAAACCCCATTGTAAATAGGAGCCATTTTTCATGATCCGACCCATAAAATTACTTAGTATAACCTAATATAATCAGGTCGAGTCATATGTCATTTTTTAAAACTTTTTCTTGCCCCCCACCCCCCCGGCTAAAATGTAAAATGTCTACATATGAGACATAAATACAGTATACAGTATTTTAGTCTATAATGTAGTATATTGTTAGGAATTGTAGGAACAATGAGCACATTTTACAGTTTTTCTGAATTGCTAAAACACATCACTCACTTTCTCAAAACCTTAAACACAAAACCATATACTTTTTTGTAACAAAGTAAACAAATTTTGAAATTACTGTATGTAAAAAATTATAGTAATGACAACTTACTAAATAAATTATAAACTGTATGCACTGCAAGTATATTGCACTGAATATTGTATAGTATTGAATGTCTGTATATTCAGCACTTGGGTAACACTTTAGAATACGGTTCCTTCGTTAATGAATAACTACACAAGAACCAATGAGTAACACAATATTAACAATCTAGTAACTATTATTAACTAACAAGAAACTCTGATTAACGAACTAGTAAGTAATAGCGCACAGATGAAAGTGGTAGTTCACTATTAACTAATCAATAACTACTATTTTTTTAATGCTTCCCAGAGAACTACTGAAAATTTTCATAATTCATGCAAAACTAATCAATAACCAATGCAGGACAAATGACTAGCACTACATTAACATTTTAACTGCTACTGTAAACGATACACAAGGTTGTTTACATTATCAATTTGTAATAGCATAGCAGACTTATGATTTGGGAAAGCTGTTACTAATAATTGGCCTATGCTGTCTATTTTGAACTTACTTACTAGTTCGTTAATCAGAGTTCTTGTTAGTTAATAAT